GGATGATCTTTTTCCCTTTGCTGGGGGTTTGGCTTGGCTTTATCTTACAACTGCATTATCTGCAATGGTGTCAGAGTTTACCAGTCATTAATTTTACTTCTTTCATCCCTTGTCAGTGCTACATTTATTTCTCATGTCATCAGACTTCACAGGTCAAACAAGATTTCCCTTTTGCTCCTCCTGCTCCCAAAGCACTCTCACAGATTAGTCCTTCACTTAGGAAGTTAAATGTGTTTGTATTAGTATTAGACTGTGGTATTAAACCATAGGTATGTGCAAAAAGAAAAGGAGTACTTGTGGCACCTTAGAGACTAACCAATTTATTTGAGCATAAGCTTTCGTGAGCTACAGCTCACTTCATCGGATGCATACTGTGGAAAGTGTAGAAGATCTTTTTATACACACAAATAATGAAAAAATACTTCCCCCCACCCCACTCTCCTGCTGGTAATAGCTTATCTAAAGTGACCACTCTCCTCACAGTGTGCATGACAATCAAGTTGGGCCATTTCCAGCACAAATCCAGGGTTTAACAAGAACGTCTGGGGGGGGAGGTAGGAAAAAACAAGGGGAAATAGGTCACCTTGCATAATGACTTAGCCACTCCCAGTCTCTATTCAAGCCTAAGTTAATTGTATCCAATTTGCAAATGAATTCCAATTCAACAGTTTCTCGCTGGAGTCTGGATTTGAAGTTTTTTTGTTGTAATATCGCAACTTTCATGTCTGTAATCGCGTGACCAGAGAGATTGAAGTGTTCTCCGACTGGTTTATGAATGTTATAATTCTTGACATCTGATTTGTAGAGACTGTCCAGTTTGACCAATGTACATGGCAGAGGGGCATTGCTGGCACATGATGGCATATATCACATTGGTGGATGTGCAGGTGAACGAGCCTCTGATAGTGTGACTGATATTATTAGGCCCTGTGATGGTGTCCCCTGAATAGATATGTGGGCACAGTTGGCAACGGGCTTTGTTACAAGGATAGGTTCCTGGGTTAGTGGTTCTGTTGTGTGGTGTGTGGTTGCTGGTGAGTATTTGCTTCAGGTTGGGGGGCTGTCTGTAGGCAAGGACTGGCCTGTCTCCCAAGATTTGTGAGAGTGTTGGGTCATCCTTCAGGATAGGTTGTAGATCCTTAATAATGCGTTGGACGGGTTTTAGTTGGGGGCTGAAGGTGACGGCTAGTGGCATTCTGTTATTTTCTTTGATAGGTATGTGCTTTGCTGAACTGAAAATAATTGGAATAGAGTGGGATCTACAGAGGTACTTTGGTAAAGGTAGAGCCCTTTGAGCATACCCCTGGATTGGGTCCTTTTCAAAATCTTGCCAGAGGTGGTGGCCCACCTTATAACTTGTAGCTCAGTGGTTAGAGCACTTGCCTGGAATGTGGAGACTCAGGTTTAATTCCGCTCCCTCTGGTAGAGAGAGAGAAAAGATTTGAGGAGGGGTCTCCCACCTCTTAGGAGAGTACTTTAATCATTGAGCTATGGGATAGTCTGATGTGGATCACATCACCCTCAATCTCTCTGTTGAAGCTGTTCCACTGTGGATAAATAATGAAGGAGTGATTGAAGCAGGGGAATTGGACCCAGGGTCTTCCACCTCCCATGTGGGTGCCCTAACAACTGAACTATAGAATCATTCTCTCTCTCTCTCTCTCTTTTTCCTTTTTGTACTTTGTGTTAGATGGAATCCTGTGGGTGAGAGAGAATGGGTTATCAAAAGGAGATGAAGAACTTGTACATTTCATCAACTGTGGGGTTGGCAGCGTAAAGGTGTGTGTGTTACTTCAGCACTGCTGAAAGAGGGCAGAATTAAGGTTGCATGGCATGGGTAGCGTGTGAGTCGTCCGTTTGGGGAGGCTAGCCCCACCCCACCCTTCTGCCCGAAGCCCTGCCACCCTTCCGCCCCCCCTCCTCCCCTACTGAAGCCCCAAGGGCCCTCACCCGCAGCTGCTGGCCCCACTGCCCCAGTCCCCCCCGAGCACCCCCCAGCACAGGGCACTGTGGCCCCAGCCCCGGTGTGCCGGGCAGCCCTAATGCTCGGTGACCTAAGCATCAGGTGGGCAGCCCCAGAGCTCCCAGCCCTGAAGTGCCGGGTGGCACGTTCCCAGTGCCTGGGGGCTCCCCCCAGTGCTGGGCAGCCCCAGCCGCTCCAAGTTCTGGTTGCAGGCTGGCCTGCCCTAGTCCCAGCCCATTTCCAGGAAGAGGAGCAGCCTGCCTGGCCTGGGACCAAGGGGGAAGCAGTAAGCAGGAGGGGGCCTCAGGGCGGAGAATAGGCAGGACCACATGGGGCTGTTTGGGGAGGCTTAAGGCCTGTGATACCTGCCTTTCATGTTGCATGGACAAACTTAACTACATTTATTGGTTTTCAGACGTTTGAGTTTTACTCAGCTCAGCATTCTGCAAGAGGGCGACATACTGCCAAGCAACCTTAACTCTATGTTAATTTGGATTTTTTTTTTACGTACCATGTCCCACAATTTGCATACTGAGCCAGCCAACACCACCTCACATGCCCACAATACACCAGCTTTGCCTCACCAGCCCCGATTCTTCACTCCTCCCCAGCCATGCCCCTGACCCATTCACTGAGTTCCCCCTCCACCTGGCCCCCCTCTCTTCTACTTTATCCAACCTCCACCACCGCCTGCAAGCAGGGAACATATCTCCTTGAACATTTCACTCCCTGGTATACAAACATTTCTATTCCTGTTACTTCCCCTTCCACCTGATCGCCCCTCCCCATAACCTGACTGACATGCGGTACCTGGAGCAAAGGCCAATTATGTTACAGTGGAACAGTGTTTCTGGTTGTGTTTTAGAATAGGTGGGAGGGTAGAGTGTGTAGCAGAAATCACAGACAGGGTTTCTGTTCCAAAATATTGAGTATTTTGTGTTTGACAGAAAGATCCTCTGCCCCCTGTCCAATAGATATACCCCATCTCCGAGAGTTTATAATGTTTCTATGGCCTACAGTATACATTTTCTGGTCAGCCATGAACCTCCAGTTTCCCAAAGAATGTTCTTCCAACACATATTAATAACTTTTATATTTTTGCTGCAGTAATTATTCAGATGCTCAGCCAAATCAGAGAAAACTAAAACAGCTCCTGGACACAAATCTCTGATGCTGTTCAACTCTGACCTCATAGATTATGTGACATGTACATCAGGAATTAGGCCCAGATAATTTCTGCCTGAGTGAATCACCACAGTGTCTGGCAGATCACAAACCTCTTAAGTCACCAGGTAGATGCTGCAGAGTGGGCAAAACATGATGCCAATGCAGGCCACCTGTCTTCACTCAAATCAACCTGTAATCAGCAGCTCCCATATCATGGTATACTCCTTGCTCTCCTGCAATCTTTCAGGGAATCGCCCAGCATCCACACCATGGCAAGCTTGGCAGCACATGGATTTCTTTTCCCTCAGCAGTCAAGGTACCTGCATTGTCATTCCAAACTTCTGCACTAAGTGTGTTTGGATACACCACATTAACCTCCCACAAGATCAGGAAGTAGCTGTTAGGATATATTCAGGCCTGTCTGTAAAGGCCTATACACTAAGAATTTAGGTGTATTCTTATCACTTGGCTAGTTAGGGGTATAAAAGAAAGAATCAAAATGACTGTCTGCCGGTGTAAGGTCCTTCTCTTACTGTGACAATCTGAGGCCCTGTGCTTAGGCTAAGATCTTTGGCTAAGCAGCAGACGCAGCCATAAGCTGGGAAGCGAACAGTCACATCCTCACATTCCAAACTAGTCACATTGAAATAAGGTGCTATTGGGCTGTTAGGAATACAGTCCTGTCCTGATAGTGCCTATCACCTCCAGAGAAAGGGAAGTGCCTAGAAGATATAAAAGGAAACTTAGTTTGATAGGTTTCAGAGTAACAGCCGTGTTAGTCTGTATTCGCAAAAAGAAAAGGAGTACTTGGGGCACCTTAGAGACTAACCAATTTATCTGAGCATAAACTGAGCTGTAGCTCACGAACGCTTATGCTCAAATAAATTAGTTAGTCTCTAAGGTGCCACAAGTACTCCTTTAGTTTGATAGCATCCTGTCTGGCAAGAACTCACTTATCAATAGCTGGAATGTGAAATCCTCATTTCTTTGTTGTTCTATCATTGTAGTCCCCATTTCCCTATTGTTTGTATAATCTCTGTCTGGTTCTGTGATTGTTTCTGTCTACTGTATAATTAATTTTGCTGGGTGTAAACTAATTAAGGTGGTGGGATATAATTGGTTACATAATCATGTTACAATATGTTAGGATTGGTTAGTTACATTTCAGGAAAATGATTGGTTAAGGTATAGCTAAGCAGAACTAAAATTTTACTATATAATCTGCAGTCATCAGGAAGTGAGTGGGGGGGGGAAATTGGAATCATGTTTTGCTAAAAGGGGGAAATGGGAACAGGGAATGGGGGTGGGGAAATTGGAATCATGTTTGGCTAAGGGCAGGAATGGGAACAGGGACACAGGTGTAAGGCTCTGTGGTGTCAGAGCTGGGAAGGGGGACACTAAGGAAGGAAACTGGAATCATGCTTGCTGGAAGTTCACCCCAATAAACATGGAATTTTTTGCACCTTTGGACTTCGGGTATTGTTGCTCTCTGTTCATGCGAGAAGGACCAGGGAAGTAAGTGGATGAAAGAATAAGACCCCTAACGGTAGCCACTTGACACCCCTGGCTCCCCAGGGGTTAATAAAATACAGATTTTCTTGAACAATCAATCCAAGGCTCACCTGCCACCTGTCCTCATTTCCTGCCCCCTCCTCAGCTGCAACCCCCTTCCCTATCCACATCCTCCTCTGCCCCACAGTTCTCTGTCTCTGGCTCCTCCGGACCTGATACAAAGATTTTGTTTAGACTGGTTTTGGTTGGCTGCTGACTATTTTGCTGTGTTCATTGTAAACCTCCCCACAAAAACAAACAAACAAAATAAACCCAAAACATGTTATATTATAATGGCGACAACTTGTAGCAAGCAACATGAGTTATTATATCTTTATTGCACTGGTGTACAAAGAAACATCAGTAGTGGGGTGTTGCCAAAGGCAATGGCATTTGAACAGTCTCTCAAACTACCCGTGTAAGCATAAAGAGGCTGCCTGGAAATCCTCTCATGGTTTTTTTTTCTTTATTGTTGCACATGCATTGTAATCCAGACTGCACATCTACACAAGGAAAGACATGAAAATGTTCTTAAAAAACCTTCTCAGTTTGGGACTCCCAAAGATTTAATGGACTATATGCACTCCCTTGAGTAATGCTTGACAAATTGAAACCATTTTGACCCACATCACATCAATAGTTTTATCTCTAGTTCTGTGCAAACAAACAAACAAAAATTACCTGGAAACTTTTTGAAAGATGACAATTTTTTCAGAGTTTATATCTCCACAACCCCTAACTCATTTGATCCAAAAAATTAGGTCACTAACCTTACCCTGCACCTTTCTAAGGCACACCAAATGTCAAAGAAATCTGATTCAGCACGTCAATTTTAAAGGACTTAAAAAGGATTGTGTTACACCTTTCTCTGCTAGACTAAAGAGTCTGTGGGAAAACAAACAAATTAGAGCAGCCCTGTGGCTACTTTAATGTATTGCAGGTCAAGAGGTTCAAGCAGGTTCCTGGACAGCCCCATAATATAGGGGTACATAGGTGATGTAAAGCCACTTTCTCTCCTCCCCCCTACTTCCCCTATTCTTGCATAAAGCTTAACTCAGATAGCCCATAGCAGGCTTTTAGAGGTTTACACACACTTTTCTCAGCTTTAAATGTCTACCCAAGGTGCAGGGCAGCATAGAATCAGGACCATGGTGTTTTCACATGGAGGTCAGCTCCTCTGGAAACTTTTGTAATTGCTGAGTGCCCAGCTGTAGATGCCTCTGTAGCATATGCCTATGTCAAGGCCACCTTCTGTGTGGTTACTGCTAACTTACTGAAACAGTTCATTTACTCTAATTGTGTGTAGTTGTACAGTTGCAGGAGTACAGACTCTTGATTCCAGCTTCAAGGGGAAGCGAAGATTGGGTGCTGGCATTATCAACATGGGAGAAACCTTGAGAAGATAAAACAAGAATCTCATACCATAAAAATGTAATTAGGCTAAGTGACGAAAATGTGCTTCTGTGAAGCACTTTATGGGGGAAAATGCCTCCATCCACACGAACATTTATGAGGCCATATATTTTAAGGTGTAGCTATTAAAAACTTCTGTTGCAAAAGTGAGACTTAGTGGATTTTCACATTTTAAATGCTTGTCAATCTATGGACTCAATGAGAATTCTTTATTTGAGTCCCTTTTATTGACTTGCTAACCTTGGATAGTTCCTTGGATGTAACAATACACTTATTTCTTCTATGAAGAAATGTTTAATACTTTTGCGTCTCTTTTTACACAGAGATAATTCCATAATTTCATAGTCATAGGATAGGACCACCTTTTTTCTCTCAAAAATGTTTCCTACAGTACATTTCTAGACTTCTTTACACAGATACCTTTACTTTCATTCACTTACTACTTTTTCCACCTTTGACTCTCATTTTGATTTGAACTTCTAAATTAATTTAGTAGTGGGAAAAGGCATTGGCTTTTACAGCCTAGGAGAAAGAAGGCTTCTCTTTAAATACAGAACAGGTACAGCTTGGCCAGTGGCTGCACAACCTCCCCAGGCCAACATCCAATATGCCTCAGCCCTGAGCTAGCTGGAGAACAAGAATTCTGTTTCATGAAAAATTTTGAGGTTTTGACATTTTTTCCAGTCAGATGAGGAATTAAACCAAGACCTTTTGAATTTTTTTAAATAAAAAACAAAAATAAACAAACCAAAACAGATGGAGGGAGAGTGATATGGAAAGCCACATTCAACTCCCTGATATGCCTGATTTGGCACAGGGCTATGAACCTTCACATCCCAATTATATTTTATAAACACAGTTATTTTTAATATTTAACATGAAGAGCCAGAACTGGATTTCTGTGGTCAGCAGGTTTTGATTTGAAAATTTTAGTTTTTGATTTAAATCACATACTGTGTACTATTTTCCTGTGACTGAACATAATGACAGTTTACAGGTGCTGTCATTCTTCTTAACAGAAACATCAGTGTGGGGAATATCATGCTTTCAGTTTTACTCCCCACTGAAAGCAATCTCGAGTTCTGCATAAAAATTGTTGGCATTAAATGGCCCCTACTGATTTACTTTCTTAATGTGATATCACAAAATTGCACAATTTACTGAGCCAGTGGAGTTACTTACACATTAGAAATTTCTGAGCTGTTTATTTACCCTTTAGCTTAACTCACATCTTCCTGCTTGGCTTATAAGTACAGTCCCCTGACTCCTATCCCTGATTCTGATGAGAGATAAACATAAAGTGACAGTTTTTTTAGAAAGAAAGGTATTTGCTTTTGCGGAGACATGTTGGACTTCCATGAGAAAAACAGATATGACAATGATCTTTCATCGGATCATCTTTGATAGGTAGCACATCTAAATAATAGTCCAGTTACTGAAAGCAGAGTTCACATTAATACCTAAAATAATTATTTTTGATTAAATCATTGCAATAAATATCAAATTAATTAATGATATACCATTAAAGTTTCCCTTTATTAATTTGGGGTAGCAGGAATTACATTTGCTGCACAAGAAAGTGAGAGGCCAAGAACTTTGAACCTTATTCATATTTCACACTGTTTTTACAGTGGTGTAACTCTAGCTTAATTGGAGTTACTTTAGTTCTGATTAGCACCAGTAACACTGCATCCCTGAGCAGAAACCATTCATTGTTAAATTATATGTGCCAGACTGGGATGATATTTTGAGGTTGACAAATACTCATATCAGATCATAAACATCCTTGTCAATGGTGACCTATGTCAATATTTGAACTAACTCACCAGAAGTGAAAGGGTATCACCTGCTAAAAATGCTTGAAGTACATGTCATTATAAAGAGAGGTTTTACTATTTTACCAGGGTTCTTTGACCTTTTTAGGAAAAGTAAGGAATAAGAATCTGCACCAAAATATGCTAGAATGATTGCCTTAAAACTTCTTTGCAAATTCTACTCACCCAAGGAGAGCTTTCAATGGACAAATAAAATGCTGTTCGTTTGATCAATCACTATTGCAAAAGTCAGGCAAGACTTTCTGCATAAACTGGCTTACGTTTATGCCTGTTTTACAAGGCTGTTTTAGAAATAGGCTTATTTCATCTCCTGACGCTGGGTTTAGTAGGTGCTGGGAATGCCCTAAAGGTAGTGTGCTTGGCTTCAACTCAGCACCTCAAGTGGAGATGATGTAAAGTAGGAAGATCCTCAGGTCTCCAGTAGCAATTATGGAAGGCCAGTATGTGTTCAGTGTAACACCAGCTCCATCAAATGGACATTCCCAGTTATAAGCGGCCAAATCAATCTGATGTCATTTTCTGTCTGGAAAAAAATTAGGCCTATCAGTATACATGTGAATAGGGAAAGGTAGTTCACCCCAAGCCCTTCAGATGATCAGATTATCCTTGAAGCATGAGATTTAATACCTTTTAGCTATCATTTAGCTTACTTAGCATCAGAAATTGTTAATGGTCAAAATATCAATAGCTTTTAAAAACTCCAGATATGGCATCTGTTTTAAAAGCTTCCAGGTGGCAGTGAATTTCACAGGCTATGTATGGCAGAAAGAAATATTTCCTTCTATTGGTTTAAGTTTGCAGCCCTTTAGTTTTATCAAGAATCGTTTAATCTCCCTGCCTGATCTTCAAGAGGATTCCTGGATAACTTACATACATCGAAGGATGTCCTTTTATTCCCTCTGTGTGGACTTATACATACATGTCCACAGGAGAATATAATCAGCTACCTTATTTTTCCCTTGATCTAATCTACACATAGCATTTCTACCATCACTGCTGAAAGCTCTGAACATGGAAATAAACAGGATGTGACGATACATTTCAGTGGTTCATAGGACAATGACATTGTTGCTAGAGATTGGATAATGTTCTATAAACCTTAATTAGTATTCTTACTTTTATATTGGTGTAGGTGTGCACTGTCCTCACTGTATGATAAAAATAAACAGTTTACCTTCTCCGAAGGACTAACAGACTAAGAGCACAAGCTGAAACGATCCAGAACACTACAGTATACAGACATATACACACCAACACCTTGGTGAGACTCTTCAGCATTAATTGCACTGTTAACATTTTGAAAGAATTATCACATCCTCTGCCTTCTCCCCAAAATTAAAAGAGAAACTGAATAAGTAGTGAACTCTTAACATTGTGGAACACACCTGTGCTAAGGAGCTAAAGTAACAGATATCTCAGGGCATAAAAGGCAATAATTGCTGTCTTTTTCTTTCATCTTAATTAAGGTTGAATGTTTCCAGGCTAACAGGTCTGTTTCATTTGTGTATAATTTCCAAAAACTTTCACTTTGGGGCTGAAATTGTCCTGCCTGGTCTCTTTCTGAGGATGCTTTTTAAAAAACAGTAATTTTGAGCAAAAATGGGCTAGTTGTTTTTCAAAGTGAAGGGTAAATATATATACACTTTTCTCATGATAAGAATTGTTTGTAGACATTTTTATAAAGTTCTAGTGCCTCGTTGCTTTGTGGTACAAACATGAAAGATTGGCAGGAAGATCGTTCTTAGGTAAGACACATGCCTTGTGGGGGCCTGGTGAAAACCCACTGTGATTTAGTCAAACTGTAAGGGTTTAAAAATATACTTATATTTGCAATGTTTTTTTATATATAAAATAATCAGCTGTCTCCCAACATGCCATTGGCACTGTAATGTATGTGGCACACATAAATATATAGGGCAATTTCCTAGTCAATGAGTGAGTTCTCAGTGACCTGCTGACCCCAGGCAAAAGGGCATAAGAAAGTTGAATGGAATTTCTCAGAATATGTGGAATATAATATGACAGTGTGTCTGGAGTGAAGTGTGCCTCCATATTGTGAAGTGCTGAAAACAGGTGAAATAAAATGGATGAAAAATTAATGAAATTCTTCACAAAATTTTTAAACCCTTCACACACTTTTAGTTGACACAGCAGTTTGGCAGCTTCAGGAGAGAAGCCAAGGACTGAATGGTCTACTGAGACTGACTTTCTCACTTCTAGACCTTACTTCCATTGAAGTAAAAGGAAATTTTGCTACTGAATTCAGTGAGAGCGGGATTGGGCCCACAGTCCCTCCAAAAACAGAGTTGAGCCATACCGGCTGGAGCAGGGTGAGGAAATTTGCGTTGTCACTGCGTGAGTGCTACTTTTTCTGTAGACTTGTCTCTGTGGCTGTTAATGGATTACCGCTCACAAACATTATCATTTTATAGTTTATAAAGACTTTTGTGGGTAATGCTGAGGCAAGAGAAAAAACAAAGACCCTGTTACAGATGAGGATGAGGTTTCCGCTGTCGACAAGAAGAATTTACAGTAGGTAAATTAAGGAATATGCCATTGACCTGATCATGCCCACTCAAGATCCACAAACAGAGGGGAATCCCAGACGGATTTTCCCCTCCTTTGTGTGGAGGGAGAATGGGCCAAGGATGGATCTTGGCTCTCAGAACAGGGGGAAAGACTTACAGATTGTTCCCCTTCACTTGCACCAGCCTACAGAGCTCAAAGCAGGAATGCAATACTACTCAAAACATAGCTCCTTATGGATCCCAGAGCCAAAAGTTATTGAATTGTCCTCACAGCTTGTTCTGCAGGGAGCACGGAACAACTGGGGAGAAAACTCCATACGAGGAAGATCAGAGTCTTCCTCTTTAGCTCCTATCCACTTGTGATGAGACAACTGGGCCTTAAATTATGAACACTTTCTTGGTCCTATACCACTGGAAATGTGGTAAAAGCTTTAAAATGTTTCACAAAAGAATGAGGCAACTTTCTCCACATTATAGTTAATGCAAACCAAAATGTAATTAAAAAATATTATTTTCATCAAACTTTAAAAGAACTTGTACCATCCAGCATCACTGAACTGCATCAAAAAGTTCAGAAGTTAATTTGGTGTGTTTAAAAAAAAAAAAAAAAAAGGCTACTTGTTTTCATGTAAGTAATGTGAAGGAAGGAAAAAAGGCTTCAGTATCTGTTTTGAGTGGAGTGTTTTTTTTTTAATGTTTTAAATACAGGGTCACAGAAGATACAGAGGTTTTATAGCCCACTATAAAACAGCTCTTTATCTTTTTTCCACTAATTCTATGGTGTCACATTTAACAAAACTAGGAAACTGCAGATAATATGGATGTTTGCAGATTAGACATCAGGCAATAAATAACACTAATTTCACAGGCCTACAAATATAAAGGTCCCTTATCATTGTTTAAGCCTCTCACTCTTTGTAATGCTTGCTAACACTTTAACCCAGGCAAATTAAGGTATTGTTTTTGCTGCCTTCTCCCATAGACAAAGCACACAGTCATAATATCCTTTTATCAGATTTCATGGTATAAAAGGACTTCTGGTACCTAAATTCACACTGTGTTGCTGTTAACAGGGATGGTTTCAGAGTTCCTGTTTTGGAAGATGCATTTGTCTTATGTTTTACTCATTTTGTTTCCTCTTTACAATGGTATAAGTACCACCTGCCCCAGAAGATGCAATTGTGACTCTACACAGTCAGTGCAATGCTACAGGGTCCTACAGATACCTAGAGAGATTCCTGCTATCACCAGGCGGCTTTACATCAGCCACAGCAAAATCAAACACCTCCAGGTAGGATAAATCCCAGTTTAAATAACTTCCATTTTCAATTTAAATCAGACGATCCATTATGCTTCTACATGGTGGTGACTTCAAAGTGAGAGGTTTATTCCAGCTGCTAATGGTTAGGTACAATTGTGCCAGGTCTGTATTTGTTTTTCCTGTTCTTTACTATTACTACTAATTATTATGTTGTTGTTTTCATAACCATGGTATCTGACCCCCTGTTTGTATTGCTTGGCTGATTTATGTGATTAATGATGTTGATCTTACATATATACGTTTTATAATCAATAAGAGAGAGCCAAATCTTAATCAGTTTTTAAACAGTCAAACTCCCATTGACTTCAAGAGCTACCTTATATCTTCACTTAGTAGGAATGGCATTCTCTTAAATGCAATTAATTCCTTCTTTAGCTAAGTGAAGAGGCTTAACAAAATAAGAGAAATTTCTGTGATGAATATAACGGCAGCACTTTCCTGTGAATAGTACATCTACTATTAAAAACGGCATAGTGAGGGTTTGACGACTCAGGGCCTGATCCTGCACTTCTGAAGTCAATCATGACTTTTGTATTTGATGTCAATAAAAGCAAAATTGGGCCCTGAATGATCTTACTAAACAAGAGCAATTTATAAATGAAGTTGCTACCTATTAATTATTGTGGTGGTCATAAGCAGTAAGAGGTTAAAAGAGTATGACTCAGCTCATTCTGAGGTTCACTAGGCATTACTGATTTCCGGTAGTTCTGTACATAAGTCAGTACCACATGATGCTTTATTGTGGCACATTCTGGAGTAGCTTCTCTTTAGTCCCACTGCAAAAATATTGCTATAATAAATCCAACTTACATGGATAGAAAATAGGGAAATAAAACCATCTGCATTATACACGCTGTATGTGCCAATTGTGTATGACTAACTTCCTAAGAAATTGTCTGTTTAAAAGATACATTTTTATTGAGGTTCATATTTTGCTTTTATTCTCAGGATTCAATAAACTGGGCTAATAATTTCTTTGGAGCAATGTCTGGGATTCCTGTTGCTCAGACTGTTAAATAAACTCTATTTTGAGAGTAATATTGCAGTTTAGCCATATCATACAGTTCACTTTTGCTGTTTCCCAGCCATTATTAATCCACCAAATTCCTTTGTCATAGATCCAATATCTAGAAGAGTCAAAGCTTACCTGTATACTTTTGTAGTGATATAGCCCAGTTAATTAATTCCTTCTGCAAACATGTCTGTGTGCTCTTTATTAAGAAATATAACAAAATACATGTGAAAGAAAAATAGTATTTACATTTCAAGACAAGTAAGAAAAATTGATCGCTCTTTATCAGTTTAATTGCCCATTTCTGTCGACTAGTATTCACTTAATAGTAGCAAAGCAGACTTGGACTATGCCTTTCAAGAACACAGGTATTTTTTATGAGACATTTAAATGTTTGCGGTGAATATGTAAGACACTCAACTATGTTGCAGTGTAATGAAATAAATGCCAGCAAACTATACCTGAAACCATCTGATAAGGCCCTTTGTCCTTTTATAAATTTCCTGAGCTGAACAATCAGAATGCCTTACATTTACTATTAGGTTTGCAATGAATATGGTATAAATATCTTTATTCTATCAGGTTGTAATTATCCAGGCTCTTTAATTAGGATTACTCAGCTACTACATACAGTATATATTTCACTTTTTTTTCCATGTGAC